GTACCGATATGGAATGTGATCCATGATACATGAAATGGATTAACCATATTAGATGAGTTTTGAATTCCTTGTGTGAATTCAACGGTATGGGATCGACAGATTTAGTACCTATGACTTGATGGAATGTGATTCATGATACATCACGTACATCATATGCATATGGGAATGGATTAAATTGAGAAAAACAATTGAGTAAAAAATGATGAGGTTTGATAATCGAATCGGATGGAATTTGAATAGGTTTGATAACCTACTTAGATAAAAAGGAGTATTAGCGATTCAATTCGTATATGTTCTCTAAGCTTGTGTACTGTCTTGTTTGACGATGAATTCCCGCTAACGAGTGGCTACAACGAGGATAATTCTGTTGTAACGAAGGTGATCTGCGAGATCATCCGGATTAAAAATAGAGTAGACTTGCTAATACCCGTGGTACTAGAAATTAAAATTGGATGAGTCAAAGTGGGAGAAGTCGGAAAATTATTATATATCACGTGCATCACTCTACTTACCGAGCTTCGAATCACTCTGTGTTTATTTCATGCCATGACGAGTAGAGACAATAATAATGCTGAAAATGAAGGCTGTCGGTTCCTCCTAGAAAAAGGGTTCATGCATGACACGAAAATTATAGGATTTATTTTTTATTGTAAATTATGTTTTGTAACTTTTATAATGATATCTAGTATCTTGTGTATGTGTATGAGATTAAATTTGAGACTTCGATCTCTAAATTGTGGTGCACCCAGATCACGCCTTTTAGGTAATCGACAAGGGAGCTGGGGGCATCATCGTCCAATATTGACCATGTTACGGCTTAGGATATTTAACGATATCATTTATGTGTATCGATATTTGTCTCACATCTTTCGATCAATCACTAATACAAATGTATATCATATGGACTTCTATCTAATTCTAATTAATGAATAGATGCAAATGAAAAAAATTAAAAGAAAAACTTTTTTTTATTATAAATAATATAATAATATAATAAGTTAAATCCATCCAAATAAGGTTGGATCTTGGGTACCTACACTAACATTAATTTCCAATCATTTGACTCTTAGATTTTCCTTGTAACAATTATTCCTCTTGATCCATTAGTTTGGCCGGATTTTACTTTGCTTGGAATAAACTTTACGAAGTTTTTCTCACTCTATATTAATGAATAAATGCAAATGCAAATGAAAAAAATTAAGAGAAAGATTTTTTTTTATTATAAATAATATAAATAATGTAATAATATAATAAGCCAAACTCATCCAAATAAGGTTGGATCTTGGACACCTACACTAACACCAATTTTCAATCATTTGACTTTAAATTTTTCTTGTAACAATTATTTCTCTTGATCCACTAGTTTGACTAGATTTTTCTTTATTGTTACAACCTTTCGAAGTTTTCCTCACTTCATATTTTTTTGTAACACAATTTCTATTTGAATAACTTCATCTTTAACCTCATTGATTTTCTTATTAATATCTTCAAAAACTCTCTAATTCCAAGACTTTAGCTCCCTCGTGTACGCTTTGAGTTTTAAATATAAATTCAAAAAAGGGATTCGACTATACGTGGTGTTCTAGTGATTGTGGATAAAATAGTGAAGTTTTTCATGAGCGAGTCCACATTTTTTTTAAATGTAAATTTGGTAGGTTTAGGATTGTCTATATCAAAGAACAAAAACAATGGGAAGTGGTCTAAATAAAGACGAGCTAAGTGAGAGTTATTCAATTTAGGAAGAGCTAAAATAATTATAGCATTAACTAAAACCTTATCCAATCTTTTGTAAATACAAGCCACCCCTTCTGATTATTGCACCATGTAAATTTGCTACCGAGCATAACTAATATCTTGTACCACTAAGCAAATGGATGCCATTGTTAAAGTTGAACATCGATTATAGCACTTAATTGATAGCCTTTCATTTTTTAGAGTTGTTTGTTATAGAGTTAAAATCACCTTTTATTATCCATGAGAGAGATATTATGAGAGAATGTAAATTATCCTATAAATTCCTTCTATCTGCTCTATCACAACTAGCGTAAATAAATGTAAAAATGAGAGATGTACTAGTCACTAGATCCACTAATACCCACTATAATGGATTGCGAGCAAACAAACTGGACATCCACCTCTAAAAAATCTTTCCAAAAGATCTAAATATATTCATTGATAGGATTGCTTATGAATAAAACTAGAAAAATAAAGAAACCTATCGGACTTAGAAAGCTTATCCCTCGTTTGCTTGGGCTCTATATAATAAGAAGAGTTACCTAATCTTTGTTTTACCAAACATCTCAAGTACCTCATTTTTCTTGATGCACAAATGCCCCTAAGGTTCCGGATCAAGCTATTCATTAGGCAAAGAGAAGAATGACTCTTTGTTATGATTAACCTTTGACCTAGTTACATGTTTGCCATCGAGCTGTGGCAAGCTATTTAGCGATTTTTTTTTTTTTTTTTTTTACTTTTTGGATAACATTCTTCTTTGTTTCTCCATTAATTATAGCCTTTATTGAAATTCTTGAGCCATCCAAGGTTGTTTATCCACAACTCGTTCTAAAGTTACACGGAGAGATAACTCGGCCTCAACATAATCAATTAATGCCCCATATCCATGCTACTTATGTGATAATACATTCAAGGAAATGAATTTATTCGGAGATGATAGTTCTTAAATCATATCCACGATAGGTGGTGAAATCTTCTACCACTTATGAGGCTACTTATTTGGTGAGACTTGAGCATTATTCTCTACTTGCTTTCTAGCGGGTGATTGTCCTCTGTCTTTTTCTATAATTTGTAGCATTATATTTTGGATATGTTGCCCATTCATCGTTGGATGGACCAAATCAATCCCCTAGAGCTAGAGGACATTATAGGATTAGAATTAGTATCTTATTAAGGAGCTATCATCATTAGTCATGAGTTAAGTATCTCTTTCCCCTTAATTTTTTTTTAAGATTATGCCATTTTTATCTAACAAAGGCTTGGATGGTCTCCGAAGCAATATCGGTTTTGAATGAGCTTTTTTATTCTCGGCCTTAGTTTATACCTTTTGCTACACTTGTTCTCGTTGTGGTCGTTGAATCATGGAGACAAAAGGGGCATCCCGAACTTGGGTTTTACCATGTGAAGATAACTTATGAAATAAGTCTATAGAATGACCTTATAGTGTATTGTATTTACAAATGGATGTATTGGATTCGACATGAATGGGTTGTTAAAAGCCTTTAGCTTTGTTAGGGCCAACTAAAATCCATACTTATTGAAGGAATCAAATTTGTCAAATCCACTTCCACAAAACCTTAACATGCATAAGGTGAGAGCCATTTATAGTTCGATCATCAAGACGAAGAAAAGTGCCAAAAGGCCGAACAATCTCATGTAAAAAAGTCGATGGGAAGAAGAAGAGAAGCGGACCGGTAGCTTAACCCAAATTACAATTTTATATGATTCAAACCTTATGTTAAAGTCTTCGTCCCATTTAAATAATCGAAAGAGAGAATTTTTGACCAAATGGGAATCTTGGGAGCAAGTTTTAATGAAATCCTCTCGCAAGAAAAGCTTGATGAACACATGCCTTAGATTTATTAAACCAATCACTAAAGTTTCAATCGGACCCCAATGTTATTGGATATAGGTTACGATGGTATCAATAGGGGACAACCTTTGAAAAACTTAGCTACCAATGAGTATTTGAAGATTATGACTGATCGTTGCATATTCCATGAAGAATTCGATTGTTGGTTCTCTCTCACAAGATTAAAGGGGTTTAGGAGCAATGGTGATGTTAAGGAAGTAATGTTGAGGAGAAGATCTGCTAGTTACGACGACTACATAAGTACGAGTAGCGACTTGTGGTTTTACGAGATTGTGTTGCAATTGTTATTGGATTCCAAACTGCAACAAAAGGAATAAGGGGAAAGGGGATAGAGGAAGAAAGTCGATTAAAGGCGTCTCCCCTATGGGGAAACTGCGGTAGCTAATTAAACTATTTGTTATGGTATTTCCTTCATGGTCATCATCGTGGGGAGAGAATAATAGCTAGGGTTTTTTCGGACACCAATATCTCTCGTTGCACTTATTGAGACTAGAAACATATAACACCTATAAATATCAAATCGGTTATTGAGAGTTACATTTTATGCATAGATATAGTGATATTATTAAAATAATTCTTTAACACACCATAACAAATAGAATTCGTTCAAAAAATCGATCGTTTATGCGGTTGCATCTTACTATGTTGTATCGTTATCACTTCTAAAAGTAGGATAACTCACTCTAGAGTTAAAATTATCCTCAATCTGGACGAATTAACAACCTGCCTCATTAACAAAACAAACATCTCTCTATGATTTTTAAGAAGGCATGGTTAATTATTTGGGACAAATCTCCTGTAAACAACAAAACCTACTTTAAAGCATTTGATTGCACTTGCGTGATGTTTTTTTCGATTATTGTACAAATTATCTGTGAAAAAAAATTATAATTCAGATAACCCGAATTATCTGGAAAAAAATCCAGAGTAATTGCATAAATTATCCATCCTCTAAAATTTTAAAAACTTTATTATCCGCACTGGTTTAAATAGTTCAAGATTTTTTGAACAGTACTCGCTCCTAATTATTTCACTGCAACTTGCCAGGGTTGCGTGTACATTGTGCTATACACAAAGCAAAGTCTTTTTTTTTTTTTTAAAGGAAAATTAGAGAATTGAGAAATCGTGCATATATGGTCAAAACTCAATGGCTGAAAACATCTTTGGAAGCCAAAAAGCACACACAATTGGGGTAAAAACATGATTATTCTACCAAAGCTAAAAAGGTTGAAAACAACACAGGAGGAAGGAGGCTTCCTTTTTCCGTAAACTTAGCAAAAACAATGCCATACAGAACACATGCTGGCCCTCCTAACCAAGTACGGAGACTCTTTATGAGTGAGAATACAGAATAACTAAAACTCCAAAAGGCAAAAACAGAAGATACTTAGCCTTAAGGATTTAGAATCCTCTCCGCATTACCACAAGATCTTGTACTATCGTACTCTCTAACATCAACGGCCAGAAAGCCCAAAACCCAAGCACTGACTGTGTCAGGCATCCAACCAATCATGTTGACTTTACACATCATCATAACCGCCTGTTTCTTTTTCACCGAAGAAGTTAAGGGCACTTTGGTGGTTTTCAGCCTGTCCCACCCCATGAAAGAGCGAAAGAGACAACCCCTCATCTTGAAGGGCCGTTCCCCTGTAGCGTTAAACGTAACAGGAAAGCAACCCCTGCCATTTTCTCCGTACGCAACTGGCATTGCAGGGTCATGCTCCGTACCGTGTGTCCTGCCTTGCTAGCTTTCTGAGTTTTTTAATTTCTCTGATTCATCTTGACCAATCGTTGAAATCGGTGTGAAATATCGTGATTTGTGTAACAAATGATTGTTACGAAATATTGTGATTTTTATATATGTTTAGAAATATCGTAGTCACATCTGCGTGGAAATAACATATTAAAATACTTCTAATTGAAATATATATTTTATATTTTCATAAAAAAATGATGATAAGACTTTCCAGTTGAATGAGATTTTTTTTTAACCGTTCGAGCAAATCTTTGATTAATCTTACCAGTACAAAAATATAACTACGTTGTCAATTGTGACATCGAAGGAAAGGCAATAAAAGGAAAATCAAAAGTCTTTTTTTTTCCTTAAAAAATCTGAGTCATAGAAGTCATGTTCCTACTAGTAGTACTGTTTTTACACCCCCAGGGAGGAGTTGATCAGACAGTGAAAACGAAAAAAAGAAAAAAAAGTTTTAACTTTTCCATTTTTTTTTTAGAAACGTACTAGTTTTAATATACACAGGTGCAATGGAACGAGAATAAATCAATTAAGCAAACAATGATGACAATCAGCAATAGTTTTTAAGAGAGGGGGGGAATAGGCACATTAATTAAGAAAATTAAATCGCTTTATCCTTATTGATTCTATTGTTTTTGTTTTCAATTTGTTTTTCCAAGTTTAATTGCAACCAATTTATTTTTGAATATAAAATTATCCTCCAATCTATTATTTTTATTAGATGTTTTCATACAAATTAAAGAACATGCCTCATATGAGATAATCAAATCGGACATAATTTGTTTTTTTTTTTTTGAAATAATACATGTAAAAAAGATAAATTTTAACACCCCATAGCGATTCATTTTGTTTTTTCAATTTCTTTTTAATAAATCAAGTCAGATTTGAGTTTTTCTTTCTGTCCATTTGGATGAGATTATTTATTATAATGATAAATTAAAAAATAAACTTAAAATATAAGAATAAATTATATGCAATTGGACTTACAGAAATTACAAGTCGAAATAGAGCTAATTTTTCTAATTAATTAACAGCATATTCTCAGACTAATTTATATGTAAATCAAAATTAAATTTAATAAATCATTTCGAATGTTGTCCAAAAGTTTAAACTTCAAAAATCAAGAAAAGGAAAAAACTTCCTTGACCATAGCTAAATCCGTTGGGATGAAAAACATATGCAATATATATTGGGTTGGCCAGCAAAATACTAGAAAAGAGAGAAAAAAAAAAAAAAAAAGAGAGTCAGTGAGCGAGGGAGGGAGGAAGGAGCGGAGAAAGGTAAGAAATTGTGGTTAATTTGTTTTACCAATAATTACCATCGCCATTTTATTCGTCTTTTCTCTCTCCGATTCCTCGCTTTTCGTGTCCTTCTCTTCTTCTTTCACCATCATCGACCTGCCTCTTGTTGGATTTCGTCCTCCTTTCTCTTCTTCTGTTAAACATAAAACTCATCGACCATACAAACAACAAAAGAAACAACATCATGTCATTTATTGTGTGATAAAAGAGAGATCTGATCCAGTTCCATACAAGACAACAACTGTTCTCTTCTGATTCTGCCATTTTTCACCATCATTTCGTTTTCAGTGCATTCATCATCTTATTTTCTCTATTCCCAAAACGATAAAGCCTCTCTCTCTCTATCTCTTCTTCTCGCTCTGGTATTTCTTTGTTTTTGTTTTTCTTGGTTGATAATTCTGTTTTTTTATTCATCACATTTTGTTTTTTGTTAGTTGTACGAATGGGTTTCTTTTTTCGATAATAACTGGGGTGTGTTTTTTTGTGTTAGGAAAATAAATCTTTGGAGATTTGTTGGTATTATCTGGATCGATCAGGGATTTGTCGACATTGAATTAAATCACAGGTTTTGTTGTTTTTTAAATTGTTTTTTGATACCCCATTTGCAATTCATAGCTATTTATCAACTCAGCATTTCAATTTCTTGGTGAGAAAGACAGCAAAAGAAAGAAGGGCTTGTTGTTGAAAAAAAAAAAGTTCGAAACTTTTGAATAGGTTTTAGGTGGTTGAGTTTGAAGAATAACGGGTTTGTATTGTGTGATAGTGGTGGTTAATGTTGGAAATGAAGGGTTGTTTGCTTGGGTTTCGATAAGGGATTTGCATTGTTAATGGTGCCAGAAATTGAGCAAAGTTTTCTATTTGATTCTCCAATGTGGTCATTGGATGATTATTTATGACTTCTGGCCGGCCATTGCTTTCATCTCTGGATAATTCTTCTGTCTCGGGGCAGCCATTGCTTCATCATTCTGGTAGTTTGGGTACTTTGGGGGTTTCTCGCCCAGCTGATTCTGTCAATACTTCTATCCTCCATCTTGCTCGAGGCGAGCCATTTGAGGTAGATTGTTTGGAAAAGGACAAAGGGAGGGTTCACTTTGTTGGTGATAATAGCTTCCGAAGCGCGAATCCAGTTGGAGAAAGTTTCGATTCAGTAGTGACTACAAAGAGGCTCCAATCTCTCGACTCTGAGTTCTTTGAGGAAGTTTCATTGGAATGCTCCACACAACTGAGCAAACACCTCGTATCGTGGGGTGCAACTGCCAAGGAAATGCTGCATAACGACAATAATGCAACCTTTTCAACTAGCTTTGAGATTTCTAGGGATTCTGGTAACTTGGGCAAGCCTAAGAGGAGGAGCCGCCCGAAAAGTTTGCAGCTTGACGAGGATGTGTTGCGGGAAGAAGATGCTCGGTTCATCTACATTAATGATCCGAGGAGAACCAATGACCAGTATGAATTTACAGGCAATGAGATTCGAACCAGCAAGTATACCTTGATTACCTTCTTGCCAAAGAATATTTTTATTCAGTTCCATCGGGTTGCTTATTTGTATTTTCTGGCCATTGCTGCTCTCAACCAGCTTCCTCCTCTAGCAGTTTTTGGGAGAACAGTGTCCCTTTTTCCTCTCTTGTTTGTACTTTGTGTCACTGCGATTAAAGATGGATACGAGGATTGGAGAAGGCATAGATCAGATCGCAATGAGAATAATCGAGAGGCTCTAATTTTTCAATCTGGCCAACTTAGATCGAAGAAATGGAAACATATACGAGTCGGTGAAGTTATGAAGATCAGTGCTAATGAGACAATTCCTTGTGACATGGTTTTGTTAGGGACCAGTGATCCTAGTGGCGTTGCTTACATACAAACAATGAATTTGGATGGCGAGTCAAACTTGAAGACGAGGTATGCTAGGCAGGAAACATCTTTAGCAGTCTTTGAAGGGCGTGCAATTTCAGGGCTCATAAGATGTGAGCAACCCAATAGGAATATTTACGAGTTCACAGCCAACATGGAGTTCAATGGGCAAAAGTATTCCCTGAGCCAATCTAACATTGTTTTGCGTGGCTGTCAGCTGAAGAACACTGGTTGGATAATTGGTGTTGTGGTGTATGCTGGCCAGGAAACAAAAGCAATGTTGAATAGTGCAGCTTCTCCTTCCAAAAGAAGCAGACTGGAAAATTACATGAACCGGGAGACTCTATGGTTGTCTATTTTTCTGTTCATAATGTGTCTGGTTGTTGCCACAGGAATGGGTCTTTGGCTTGCACAATATGAGAACCAGCTTGATTACTTGCCTTATTACAGAAAGAGATACTTCACGCTGGGGAAGGATTATCGGAAAGAATACAAATTTTATGGGATTCCTATGGAGATTTTTTTCTCATTTTTGAGCTCTATCATAGTCTTTCAGATAATGATTCCCATATCTCTGTATATTACAATGGAGCTGGTTCGTATAGGGCAGTCTTATTTCATGATTGGGGACAGTCACATGTATGATAGTATCTCTGGCTCGAGGTTTCAGTGCAGATCTTTGAATATAAATGAGGATTTGGGTCAGATACGCTATGTTTTTTCAGACAAGACAGGGACACTTACTGAGAACAAAATGGAATTTCGAAGAGCAAGTGTAAACGGGAAAAATTATGGAGGCTCCTTGCTAACTGCTGATCCATTGCAGACAGAGAGCATTTCAGGTAGTAAACCCTGCACTTATCAACTTCAGCGCAGGATAGAGTATGTTGTACCCATTGCCATTTAATCAGCAGTTGCAACATGGACATATTGCACTGGCAGTTTATTATATTTCTGTTTTCCTTTAGGCATTATTATCAGGTCATTCAAATTGACCTCTTTTTTTCCACTATTTACAAAAACATGCTTGTTGGTAAAATTTACTGCCTAATCTGAAGCTTTTCTGTCATACCGTGCACTGTTCAGTTTGTTAGTGGTTATAATAGATTCCATCATCGTAAAGCATGTTATGATTTCATTTTAATGATATTCCATTTTCCTTGTTCATTTACAGCTGCAACTACAAATAGGAGATGGAAACTTAAATCTACGATTGCTGTTGATTCTGAACTCTTGGAATTGTTGCACAAAGACTTAGTTGGAGATGAAAGGATTGTTGCACATGATTTTTTCCTTGCGCTAGCTGCATGTAACACTGTGATCCCAATTCGTACTTGTGATGGGTTTTCTAGTTGCACAGACAGTCAATTTTTTGAGGATGCAGATACTATGGACTATCAGGGTGAATCCCCTGATGAGCAAGCATTAGTTTCTGCAGCCTCTGCTTATGGTTATACTCTTTTCGAGCGTACATCTGGACATATAGTAATTGATGTCAATGGTGAGAAATTAAGGTACAAAATTTCTCCAGAGTCCACACCTTCATTCTCTCGTTATCATGCTTTAATTGCTTTTCTGAAGTTCGAAACTCAAACCATCTCTCTGATGTCATTTGAAGATATTTTTTTTTATTTCTTAGTAGTAAAAAAAAAAAAATGGTAATAAATAGAATGTTGTTACGTGAAATTCAGGTTTGGTGTCTTGGGCATGCATGAATTCGATAGTGTGCGGAAACGAATGTCTGTTGTAATTAGATTTCCTAACAATGCTGTAAAGGTGCTGGTCAAAGGTGCTGATAATTCAATGCTGAGTATTTTAGCAAAAGACTCAGGAAGGGATGATCATGCAAGGCGTGCAGCAACAGAGAGTCATTTGACTGAATATTCATCACAAGGTTTACGCACACTTGTGATTGCTGCAAGGGATCTTACAGAGGAAGAACTTGAGCTATGGCAATGCAGGTTTGATGATGCAAGCACTTCTTTGACTGATAGAGCAGCAAAGCTACGTCAAACAGCAGCTCTCATAGAGTGCGACTTGACATTACTTGGTGCAACAGCAATTGAAGACAGGCTACAAGAAGGTGTGCCAGAAACCATTGAATCCCTCCGGCAAGCAGGGATCAAGGTCTGGGTTCTGACCGGTGATAAGCAAGAGACGGCAATATCTATTGGCCTGTCTTGCAAACTCTTGACAAAAGATATGGAGCAAATTATTGTAAATGGCAATTCAGAGAATGAATGCAGAAAACTTTTGGCTGATGCTAAGGCCAAGTGTTGTTTAAAATCATCAAGCAAAGGAAGCCAATATTTGAAATGCAATGAGAATGCTGAAATGGACTACCTTGAGAGGCCAGAGAAGGAGGAAGTGCCACTAGCTCTCATAATTGACGGGAACAGTTTAGTATACATTTTGGAGAAAGAACTAGAGTCAGAGGTGAGAATCATTTTTCTACATCTTATACAACATATGGATTTGATTTTGTACTGACTTTCTAATTCCTGCCATTTGATTGAATTTCATCTCTTAACTTGGAGCACACATAGCCTCATTGATTATTATCAATAATCAGTTCTTTTATGATCTCTCTACAGCTTTATGACATTGCAACTTATTGTAAGGTTGTGGTTTGCTGTCGTGTTGCACCACTACAGAAGGCAGGGATTGTTGATCTAATCAAGAGCCGGACTGATGATATGACATTGGCTATTGGTGATGGTGAGCTATTTTCCAGAATTTTTATTTTGTAAGAAACTTTTTGTGGCTTGCTTGGAAAGGCAGGTACAGTGTCCTTTGTCAGGGAAACAACAATTTTAGTAGTTTCTGTCCTGCTAGTATAGGGCAACTGTTTGGTTTGGTTAACTTGATTATTCATTAGGTTTTAGTTTTGAATTTAAATTTTTTCATGTTATGGTTTGGTTTTCAAAAACTATACGTTGTCAGGGAAAGAACAATTTTAGTAGTTTCTGTCCTTCTCCTAGTACAGGGCACTGTTTGGTTTGGTTAGCTTGATTATTCATTAGGTTTTAGTTTTGAATTTAAAATTTTTCATTTTATGGTTTGGTTTTCAAAAATTATACGTTGCTTAAACCAAGAAACCAGTTTTAGTTTAAGACTTTTTTTTTTTTTTTTAATCAGCTACATACATCTATCATTTGAAATAAATAAAAAATACATGCATCTAGACTTTGTGCGGGCCAAAATCTTAGAATAACTTCTAGCAGTAATGCTCCATAATTTAAGATCTGGGTCGTCTTTTTTAAGCCCCCTTTTTTTCCAATCAATTAACCACATATATCTGTCATTTGAAATTCAAATAAATAAATAAATAAAAATATGTAGTGATGTTTTTATTTTTAACTTACATCTAGTGGGTCTCCATGTTTTGTGCTGCCCAAAATTTTAAGATAACAACTAAGGGTAAAGCTCCATCATATAACATCTGGCTTTGCCATGGTTTGTCTTCCCTATCCAGCGTGGTTCTCAAATTGAATGTTATATATATATATATATATTCTGTTTGCTTCTACTGCAACTCAGCTTCCTCAGTAGTCAATTTTTTTTGCCATATTGTTAAATGTCACACATACTTTATTGTCTCATTTTTTTCACCCTATAAAGTGCATGATTAGGAGGATATACAGTTGTGTCATAGAAAGTGTACTTATACCCCTTTCATAGACAATAGTAGATTTTTCTATCGACTGACTGAAACAGTAGTACTTTATTCAACTTTTTTTTTATCCATAAGTAAGCATAATGCCATACAAGGGAGTAAGGAAACATTGAGGGTCAATTGGATGTAAGACTTGCAGGTCACAAAAGCTACTTGCTTGGTTGCTAGTTTTATATGGTAAAAGTCAATTGCTCACTCTTTAGAGATTTGATGTTAAACAATAGAAAATTTATCAGCTTTCAAAGGGACATAAATGTAAGGAGACTAAGAATATCAAGTTTAGCCTTTATAATTTTTTTCTTTTTTGGAACTGCCTTCCCTTATTCATCATAACTATTTTAATGCTTTGGGCACCAAATGGTCGTGAGAGGTGGTGAAGAGAAATTCTTAGGAATCTAAAGTTATAGTGATTGTTCTAACCAGCTGTAATTTTTTAGGCCAAAACCTCTAGACAATGAGGTTAAGGAATTAGAGACATGCAAATAGCTGATGTCAAATCTACTTGCCAGAATGCTGTGACTACGCTTAATTTCTCATATAGTAGCAATAGAATACCTGAATATGTTGGTCATCTCTTAATCTCATCCTTTATTTTCTCTAATTAGATCTTATTCTCTCACTCAATCTCTTCTTTGGCTGTATCTAGGATATTAATTATTAATTCTTTTAGGAAAATATTGTGACTTTAGGTTATAGTGTTTGCAGCATATTAGTAAGGTTTTCATGTTAGGGCCTCTTTGTGATGCAAGTGCAACTCCAATTTTAGTGGCAGTTGATTTATGCACAAGACAATTGTTTGTCTCATACATAAAATGTTCAATTGAATGAGATGGTACGAGTCTATAAAAGGGCATCACTCTTCACCATTCTCTTCTCGGGTATGGTTGGAGGCACCATTGAAAGGCTTCCTAAATAAGAACTTCTAGGTTAAAGTGCTTTTTTCTCAAAATTTTTAGTTTTTTTGTCAGGATAACTAAGTATGTAAAGCAGAAGTAAGAGACTATGAACTGTAATAGTTTAATATTTGATTGCCGTTCAGTTATTGATTGTACCCATTCAATTTCATTTAGTATCTGAGAAAATTCTGTTTTTGAAAAAAAAAATCAAGATGAAACTATCCAGAACCAATGAAAGAACTCATCCCTACTGAATCTGATATTAATGGTTGAATGTTTATGTCACAGAGGTATTTGTACTCTTTAATCAGGATGCACAAGCAAATCAAATTCCTTTTTCTTCCTCTGAGTGTTGGCATTTTGTAGGAGCTAATGATGTTTCAATGATCCAAATGGCGGATGTTGGTGTCGGAATATGTGGTCAGGAAGGGCGTCAAGCAGTTATGGCATCAGATTTTGCTATGGGACAGTTTCGATTTCTTAAAAGATTACTTTTGGTACATGGACACTGGAATTATCAACGCATTGGTTATTTGGTTCTCTACAACTTCTACCGCAATGCTGTTTTTGTATTGATGCTATTCTGGTATTCCTGAGTCTTTTGCCCTTTATGTCTTTGATTTCTTTCTGTTTGATGTTTGTTGTTGGGATAGATTTCTGGTGTTCCTGGGGTTAAATCATGAAATGGCTTAGAATCAACCATGAAGGATACAATCAATCCCAAAATATTTGCAACTGCAAGGAACAAGACATGTCGGTCTTGGGTGATATGGCCATTTGTTATTTCCTTTCCATTTTTCAAGCTCACATTGCAGTCTGGAAGATTTCTTAATCTGGGTTCTATTCTTCATTTATCCAAAACTTTTTCCCTTCACTCCAATTTTAGGTTCCTTGGCTGGGCCATGTTCAATTTAGAACCCCATTTGTGGTGAGGGTGGAGTGTAGATTTCTTTGCTTTTCATTACCGCTTCTACAGTTTATGTTGGAAGTCTTGTACTGTTTGGATATTTGTTTTTCAAGTGCTTATCTTTGTGTAGAATTTACTTTGGAAAAAGATATCTGTTATGGATTAAATTCTAAACTATGAACTCTTCTTCTCTTTAAAATTCTAGACTATGAACTCTTGTTTATTTGAATTGTATATTATGCCTAGCTACCTGAAGTTTTGTTCCTAAGTCACTCTGCCTTTTCTATTTTTGGCATCTGTAGGTATATATTGTTCACAGCTTTTTCAACAACTTCAGCATTGACTGATTGGAGCAGTGTTCTTTATTCTGTTGTTTATACTTCTGTGCCTACTATTGTTGTTGGTATTCTGGACAAGGATTTAAGCCATCGGACACTGTTACAGTATCCGAAACTTTACGGTGTTGGGTATAGGCACGAGGCTTACAATATACATCTATTCTGGATCACGATGGCTGATACACTATGGCAGAGTCTTGTTCTCTTTGGCGTACCCCTTGTCACTTATAAGGAGAGCACAATTGATATATGGAGCATTGGCAATCTGTGGACAGTAGCAGTTGTTATCCTTGTCAATATACACCTGGCAATGGATATTCAACGCTGGGTTCTTATTACTCATGTTGCTGTTTGGGGATCAGTGATCATCGCATTTGCTTGTGTGGTAGTATTGGATTCTATACCTATCTTCCCTAATTACGGGTTAGTATTATTGGTGCCCATGGCAATATATAGTTTTCTATTATTTGGGCTTTATTCAGATAAGCTAATGCATGCGATTTTCCTTTGGCAGGACCATTTACCATCTGGCAAAGTCACCTACCTATTGGCTCACCATTTTTCTCGTGATAGTTATTGCATTGCTGCCTCGTTTTCTTTTTAAACTTGTACATCATCATTTTCGGCCTTCAGACATTCAGATAGCAAGAGAAGCCGAGATACTGAGAAAAGGACCTGATTATTGGGAATCAAAACCTGTTGGCAGTTCCAGTTGAGATGTAAATTACTTTGTAGAAATACACACCTGAAGATGGCTTCCATTAAGTTATCCATTGTCTGGCTTTCCTGTAGCATGAAGCTGTTAAGTTCAACGGTTAGTGCATGCTTACTCTTAATTAGTTCACAGTAAAAATGGTAAAGACGATCTTACTGTGCATTAATTTAATTTTAATAAAAATGCGTTGGGCAACATCTGAAACCATGCTTGTGGATGTAGTTTGAACACCAAGTTGAATTCATGTTGCCTTGTATTGTAAATCAAGTAGATATGGAAACAATTGTTATTATTGTTTAACTTTTTTGTGTTGCCTTTTGAGGTGGGTGTTCATTCAAGAACTCTTGCTTGAACGATGCTCTGTGGAACTGTAATGTCCAAATCAAAATTAAAGGGACATTAATCTCATAGGTTCTCGTGACATTTGCCAGCTTTGAAGTTCTGTTAACTTGCTTTTCTTGTTTGAATTTTAATGGCTTTACCTTCAGGTAACCTGCATAAGAAGCTGACAACTATTATGTATGTTTTTTTCTTTTTTAATGTTTTGAACCCAAAAAAAAAAAAAAAAAAAAAAAAAACAAAAACAAAAAAAAAAACACTCTGAACTTTTTAAGTTGGGCACAGACATCGTTGTCGTGTGTAGATGGCCTAAATCTTGGAGAGAAATGCATAATCCACATTGTTTTGAGCTTTAAAAAAATGTTGTTGATTTTGAAAGTTATCAGAACGCTTTGTAAATGTAATTGGAAGGACAGGTGTTAAGGTTACACCAACCAGGTGTTATGGGAATGGCAATGTTTTTATGTCAAGTTACTGATGTCAAATATGTAAGAGATTATAAATGATGTAAACTGTTGTTTGCAAATTATAAGCTTTTTGTTGATTTTGTATATTATTGGACCCATAAGAGATGCTATAACAGACATGCAGTGGATGTGCATATATTTGTAATTGACATATCCATGTTATTTGTTGTGTAAGTGGATATATTTGTAATTGACATAACCATGTTATTTGTTGTGCAAGTCTTATTGATGTGCTTCTATTCATGTGTCCTCAGATGAGTTGCGCAAGTTGATTTTTTACCAACATTGGAAACCAATGATCAGGCATTTGACAGCGAAGTAGCAGAAGCTGCAGAACTGTGTAAAGGATAAAAAGGGAAGGCAGGATGGTTGCGATGACTGGCTGGCGCAAACAGAAACATTTCCATGATTCATTAGGAGTTAATTGATGGAAAATAGTTGGAAAACGACCTTATTAGAGGATGGTGGAGCTCAGACAACTTGTTGATATTTATAGCATGGTGTCAGTAGAAGTGACATTGCTGGGTGGTAGTCGGAATTTAGAAATGATATCACAATGATGAGGGTCCATGGGCAAAAGAAAAGAGGGGAGAGAGAGAAATTAGGTATATAACAGTTGCATGTAAAGTTCAGGTTTGGCATTTTTGTTCCTTACCAAATGGAATGAGAAAAGAAAGTTTTACCATGTTTTACTTAAGCTCTCCTCACTGCTTAATCCATTTCTTTTACATTAAGAATTATAACCTATCTTTTTTCTCATTGAGGGCAAGACTACACTCTAAGCCGGGATTGTGAGAGAAGCCAGTGAGGCAGAGTGAACGGAAAAATGCCTTGTTATATTGTTTCAAATCAGTACACTTTCTGTGCCCCCCTCCAAATCCAAATCAGCATTTAAAAAGTAATACGGGCCGTGTCAAAAGAGAAGCAATCAATTTATCCCAATTTATTTTTACCTTCTCTGATGCTCGCTGCTGCCTGCATCTTGGACAAAGAAGAAAAAGAGAAAATAGTAGTTGCATTCACAAATCAAGCTTCTGAGGAGTCCTTGGTTGTTTTTAAAATAAAGTTAACAACCCCTGCTTCAGAAAGTACTTATGTTTTCGATTTTGTCGATGGTATTGATGGTTAGAACTCATTGAATTGCATTAGCTTAGCTGTTAAACTAATGGTGTTTAGTTGTTTAAACTTGTTTTGGTGATTGTTTAAATTGCTTCTCTGACCTTCTTTTAAGGGGCATAACCACTTTCTGAAACAAAAATTCAGTTGCTAACATCGTAGGTTGCCTCCTGAATGAGCTCCGGAGTTGTCCTGTTGTGATGCTTAGGGCCTCTAATGTTTTCCAATAAGAAAGGAACGCATGCTGCGGGAAGAAAACTGAAACTTAGCTAATCCTAATTAAGCTGATATCTTCTTATAGTTTGTCTTGACTGTTGCACTGATCTGAAATTTCTGTTTCATTGAATTTTCTTTTTTTCGCTTCTCATTTTTGTTAATGGAGTCTTACATCATCTGGAGTCATTGTCAAGTACTTGGAGACTCTCCACCATCCAAAGTTGAAAATGCCCTGTATGCTAGCTAGCATTGCTCATGTCCATGCACGCTGCTTGAGGAAAATGGATATTGATTAGTGACTTATTGCTTTGTCATTTTTTTCACTTTTTTTGGGTTGCTCAAGCTACAATTTATTAAGATAAATGATAAATAACAAGAAAAAGATCATTAGCCTTCGGGTCGTGATCTTAATATGGGACCCAATGAGGGGGTCTCACTCACTAATCTAGTGGCTCGTGTGTATTCTTGAAGTCACCGGCGAGGCCATGTGCAATGGAGGGGTCAATTGATCCTCAATTTCCAGAAAAATAATGCAATCGTAGAGAATAGTAACACAGATTTTTTATACCTACTTGATTGACCCCCTGCACTGGAACTTATGGAAGTGGGTTAAATTTGTACTCTTCTAGGAAAAGTTATTGAATGTTGCATATTTCAATTGCTAATTTCATAATTGTTTTTTTTTTTTTAAAAAAAAGGAGCTATTATTCCATAATTATATGCATTCCCTTAAATGCCTCGGATGTTAATAAATTTTGAGAATTCAGGACTACCTTCTTCAATATATATTTGGTCTGACTTGTCTGTAGCTAAAACTCTCCCTCGGTGAACTTTTTCATCCTCTTCCTATTTTGGAGTGCTTTGTTTTAATTTTGACAACTTGGAAGTTGATATTTCTTTTGCTAATATCATTACTAATACACTAGAACAGGTGGGGTTTTTCCTGATCATAGACTGTTCACTCACTCTAAATTCACTGTGAATCAAGACTCAATCTTACTGTGTTGCCTTTTATCACGTATTTTAGTCGTTTATTTTCTGTTTTGTTTCATCTCCTTCTTTGGTTTTCAATAGTGTTGCAAAAGTCCATTCTTTTTCTCTCAATTGTCAATGTAACATCCTTATACTGCTTGCTTAATTGCTATTGTGTCATTTAGTGGTGGTGCTAAGTTACGTTCTTACCTTTGCTTTCCCTTTTGACCTTTTCGTTTTTTATCCTTTTTTTGTAATTTGCTCCTTTCTTGGACAGAGCAATTAATGCTCAATCATGATGTTTTGCTACAACATTTTTTTTTCTTTGGAATATGTATATTGTGAGTTTAGTTATTTTTATTTTATTTTATTTATTTTTGGTTTAGGTCCTTACATTAAAAGTATGTTTTTATTTGGTTTATTGGATTTCAAAATATTTAAAATGATCCTCAACTATATATATGATTGAGTGAAATATATTTTAAAATAAATTAAATATTTTTTAATAGAGAGTAGATATTGCGATAGTTAACATGATTTAAAATTGTATTAGTTAATTAGAAAACTTCATATGGTTACCCAAAATAGAATCTAAATTTTTTTATTAATTCAAAATATTTAAAATGATCCTAAACTCGTATATGATTAATTTGAAATATATTTAACAGAAATTAAATTTTTTTAATAGAGATTAAATATTGCAATAATTAACATGATTTAAATTTGTGTTAATTAATGAGATAACTTTATATGGTTACCCAAAATAGATTTTTTTTTTTAATTTTGGTACATATTTAGGGGTATTCATTATTTTATTATAAGAATTTGGTTTAAAATATTCATCTTTCATGTTTTATATTTTTGAATTTATGTATTTTTTTATTCATAATTTAATTTTGCGTATTGAATTATTTAAAATTATTTCATAAATTTTATTTTAATATTTTATTGGATTGAATATTTAAAGAAATTTTTTAAGGTATTGCAAACAAACCATTAAAATATTGAGAATAATGATATCTAGAAATGTATGTGAAAAACTTTAATAAGTTTTGATATATAAATATAAAATAAGTTAAAAGCTAAGGATCATTATTAAAAAAAAAAAAAAAACAAAATCATTATTCATTCATTGTTCATTATCTCTCATTTTCCTATTCATTACTACAACACTAAAATAGGTGGGGGTTTGAACATTTGAAATAACTGTTCACCACCACACAACCTATTATTCATTATTGTAGCTTTGGTTTTTCTTTTTTTTTTTTTTTAATAATTTTCAAGTTGTTTCATTTTGGTTTCCAAAGTTTTTTTTTAAAAAAATCAATCCCTTAATTGATGCACTACGCAAGCCTTTTTTTTTCTTTGCTTTTTTTTTTCATCAATTTATGTTCTTTTTTTTTATTTAATTGGGTATTAAAATTTTAAAAAATTAATCGTTATTTTTTTCCATGTAAACCGATGATTTTAAAATAAAAATTTTAATCCCTTAACTAATACACTTCACATAAATCTTTTTCTTTTGGTTTTTTCCCTTTCCTTTTTCCATCAATTGATGTTCTTATTTATTTATTTATTTATTTGGGTGTTAAAATTTTGAAAAATCAATTGTTATTTTTTTCCAACACAAACCGATGATTACATACTATATATCCGATATGTTTTAGAATAAATATACTACTCTTATTATTTAAAATTGACCTTTTCAATAAAAATTCTCATGAAGTTAATTTTTATTCTTATTTTTCATATAATTTTATTTATTAATATATATATTATTTTTTATATTTTTAAATTAACATATACTTTAGCTTATATTACTTTGGTTATTTAAATTTCATTCTTTGAATTTATCATTTTTTATAAAAATTCTCATGAAATTAATATTTTTTTATATAAAATTTTATTTATTGATAAATATAATTTATTTTTTCCTATGTTTGAATTTTAGAATAAAATTTTAAAACATGATTTAAAAAAAAAAAAATTGGTATAATATATATCATGAATTTTTAGATTTTTTAAATGATAGCGTCATATGCATAAATATATAATTATTTTATTCCAAAATGTTAAAAGTATATTTTAAATAATTTATCTTAGTTCATTACGTATGGTCAAGACGTATAAAAAAAACTAATGAATCTTTGATTTTATTAAAAATTAACTATACATCTTCTAACATAATACAAATTATTTATTATGACTATTTTTAAACATTATAAAACCAATTCATTTGAAATAAAAAAAATTAAAATAATTTTTTAAAGGAGCCAACCAATTATTCAACTACAATTTTTATGCTAATTTTATTGATTATGTTACAAATAAATATATACAAATCAAATGCATATACTTGAACCAAAAAATTATCTTCACATAAACATTAAATAAGAATAAAATTTTATTTTTTTGTTGGTTAATTTTTATACAAGTCTATACATTAATTGTAAATTTATTTTTTTGAATACATTATTATAAAAAAATATAATTTTAAAATATTTATTTTTGAATTCTCAATTAATATTTTATGCTTAAATTATTACAAGTTTTTATTCAAGAATACCTGAATAAAGAAGAATAAATTATATTTTTTAAAATAGAAATTTTATGAAAAACACACAAAAAAATATTAATAATTAAATAAAAAAATTATAAATTTTAAAATGATTTTATTTTATCTACCCATAGTGTTTACGTGGATAATTTCAAAAATTAATGTTCTCATCAGCATTAAATTAGAAATGTTTTTTCATTTTTCAATTTTTGTAAAAATTTTCCCATTAATTATAAATTTATTTGTTGAAATACAATATTATAAAAATTATATTTTTAATTTTTTTAATTCTCAATTAATATTTTAGTTAATTATATTGTAAAATTAATCCATATAGAAGAATGATTTATTTTTTTAAACAAAAAATTTATAAAAAATTAAATTAATTAATTAAATTAATTAATTATAATTAAAAAAATTTAAATTTTAAAATGATTTTATTGTGCGGGACTCGTAGTGTAGAGCGAGCAACCGACTAATAAATCCTAAATAATTTGTTACATTTTGGATTGTTTGATTATTATTATTTAAGAAAAAATTTTGAGAATTGATTTGGTTCTAAAGATAATACAAATTAACTAAAACATTAAAACAAAATGATAATTAACTCGATATTCAATTCTACGATGTATTTTCATTGTTTATTGATACTTTGGCACTTTAATTCCTTATCTTTTTATAAAAATTATTTGACCTCATACTTTATTTGTATTGTAATATATTTCTTGAATGCCTATAAAAGAGAGAAACAAAGAGAAAGAATGAAGAAGAAAGAGAGGGACGGTGATGGCCATTTCGATCAACTTGACTAACAAAATCACTATCAATTTGTTCCTCTTAAAGAGTATAATCTGTTGATAATTGTTACAAGTTATGAAATTATTTGAAGAGGTAGATAGAGATTTGAAAATATTTTTTTAATTTTTTTTAATTTGATTTTAATTTTTATCTATTTTGTCCGCATTATAATGGATTTCAATACTTTAAAGAAGTTTGTTGGCATTATTTTTGTGATTTTGAGATGTTTTTAGACAAAAATAAAGCTAAATTTAGCTTTGAAAAGGCTGAAAATCAAGAACTTATTTTTCCGACGACGTTTATAGTTTGCTAGAAGTTGCTTCGGACGACGCATTGTCCTTCTTGTTTCTTTCTTTCTTTCTTTGTTTTTTTTTCAAGACTAGGTTAGTGCATGAGAGTGCGAGCCTAGTTCTCAACTCTATTTTTTTTTAGTAATTTATTTATTTTTTATTATGTATTTTGAGGAAAAAATTATTTGGTCTCGAACTTCATTTGTATTGTAATCCGATTCCTAGATACTTATAGAAGAAAGAAACAAAGAGAGAGAAGGAAAAGGAAAGAGAGGGACGACGATGGCCATTCCAACCAACTTGACTAACGAAATCACCACCGATTTATTCCTCTTAAAAAGAAGAATTTGTTGATAGTGGTTACAAGCTATAAAATTATTTGAGGAGGTAGAAAAAGATCCGAAAATATTTTAAGCTTTTTTTTAATTTGATTTGAATTTTTGTGTGTCTTATAATGGATTTTGATACTCTAAAGAAGTTTGTTGACGTTATTTCTATGATTTCGAGATGTTTTTAGACAAAAAAAGAAAATATAGCTAAATTTAGCTTTGAAAAAGCTAAAAATCAAAAACTTGTTTTTTCAACGACGTTTTTGGCAAACTATAGTTTGTTGGAAGTTGCTCTTGATGCGTCCTTCTTGTTTCTTTCTTTCATTTTTTTTTTTGTTTTTTTTTTTCAA